ACATCACCTTAGTACGAGTTCCAGACGTAGCACTTTCTCCCTGTCAGTTACATCCCTAAAAGGGATACTTTGGAGACATCAAGCTCTCTTGACAAGAAACAAAAAAGTATGATAACTCTAGAGCACACAAAATAACATATGAATACTATTTGGCAATTAAAGAGTGGCTCACTTCTTAGGGGTTAGAAACAAAGAAGTTTTGTACTATCAGCTTATTGTATATTGAATGGTAAGGTTCCATTGACCGGACATCAATAAAAAATGCAAACATATGACCAAGTATTTAAGAGTTATATGATATAATATTTGAGGGTGGGGATATCGGAAATGAAAACTTTCAACTGTCTCAGTGAGTTTTACCACTCTTATGAATGTATCCGTGTCTTTTTAGTACTCTGCAAGGATGCGTTACTCACAGATTTACATTAATACCAAGAATCATCATATAATCAATATCATTTTGCTCAAAAACTATTTTAATGTGCTCATTGGAGACACTGATACTATATCCAATGCTTCACCATTAGATTATCTCCCATGTTCTTATACTCTATAAACCTGGTTTTGCTAATTTCAGGTGAACTGTCTTAATAATCCTTGAACTTTACTGTGATTAAATGATTGATGTGAAGCAATTTTGATGGAAACGACTAAAGAGTTGTAATGATATCTATAGAATATTATTTCAAAATATCCCATCATCACTAGTCTTGTCGTAAACTCTTTGGAGTCGGTTATAGGAATCATTATTTTTCATTGATTGCATTGTATAATGTATATTATAAACTATGTCTCAGCATAATTGTGTCATTGAATTTTGTGTTAAATCTATAAATATTTCAAAACTTCTCATCCATAAATGTTTTGGTGATTTTCTTACTGCAATCTCCCTATTTTTAGCGTAGGAGATGCAGCAAATATCTTTTTTCACAAATATTCCCACTTTTAATGTCACTAGTTGGCCCTCTTTTTTACCTGTGCTAGAGTTGATGCCATGCTTTGTCAGGCTTAACTTGAAACCTGAGCAATGAAGGATGGCTGCAATATGCCCTAGTAGTTGGTTGTTGGAAATTGGTTGGTGGCATAGATGCAAGTTAATACACTTTTGAAAAAGGAGAATAATGTCTCGAAGTATACAACAAAAATAACAATAAAGCAAAAGGAGAATAATGTCTCGAAGTATACAACAAAAACAACAATTGGGGTTGGCTACATGAATTCTTTCTCTCCATTGCCTCCTATTTAGTGCCATATTTTCATTTAGTTCTAATAAATTAAGATCATTTTTTTATACAATAAGCCCAAGTTTTCAGAGGTTTACCTCTGCCTTTCTTAACATAAGTCGAATCTAGAACATTTACTCTCCTAATCGGATCATTAGATAGATGACGTTTAATGTGACAAAACCATCTAAGACGACTTTCTCTAATTTTGTCCGTCACAGGAACTACACCTACCACATCACGGATATTCATTTCGCATTTTGACTCTAAGTGTAAAGCCACTAAAACACCTAATCATTCTCATCTCGGCAACACTTAACTTAGTATTATGCTTCTCTTTTAAAGGCCAACATTCAGCGCCATAGAGCATTGCAGGTCTCACCACCGTCTTATATAATTTTCCTTTCAATCTAAGCGGTACTTTCACACAAAAGGCTTGAAGCATTTCTCCACTTCAACCAACCAACTTGAATTCTACTATTAACATCCCCATCTATATCACCATCACGCTGAACAACAGACCCCAGACCCGAGATATCTAAATCGTCGATATCTAAATCGTCCACACCTTTTAATAATTTGATCACCCAAAGTTACACTTCTATCACTAGAGCTACTACAACTAAAATTACATTCCATGTATACGGTTTCATTCAGTTTTAGTTCTACTCAAATGAAGGCCTTTAGACTCCAATGTAGACCTCCATAATTCAAGTTTTTTCTGGGCTTTTTCTCTTGTCTTATCCACGAGAAGGATATCATCAGTGAAAAGCATACGCCAAGGTGCATCCTCCTGTAAATATCCAGTAAGACCATCCATAACTAAAGCAAAAAGATATTGGCTTAAAGCAGATTTCTGATGTAATCCAACAGAAATAAGAAATATTTGGTCAATCCTCCTTCAGTTCGAACATAAGTAACAGCTCTAGTATACATATCTTTAATGACTTGAATATAAGTCATATCAACACCTTACTTCTCAAGAACTCTCCAAAGGATGTCTCTTGGAACCTTATCGTAAGCTTTTTCTAAATCAAATGTAGATTCTCCTTATTATCTCTGAACTTCTCCATCAAACCTCTCAATAAATGTATAGCTTCCATAATAGACATGCCCAACATAAATCCAAATTGATTATGAGAAATCTTTGTAATACATCTTAAACTATGTTCAATTACCCTCTCCCATAATTTTAAAGTTTGACACATCAACTTAATTCATCTATAATTTGCACACTCTTGTGCATCATCTTCATTTTTAAAAATAGGGACCAAAATACTCTTCCTCCACTCCTCAGACATCTTTTTAGTTTTTAAAATAATATTAAAGAGTTTAGTAAGCCAAGAAACTCCCAAATCTCCTAAATATTTCCATACTTCAATTGGGGTATCATCAAGTCCTACAAACTTTCCACTCTTAGTTTTCTTTAAAGCTTTAAAGCCTACTCAATTTCTTTTTTACTAATGCGATGATAAAAATGAAACTTTATTATTATTATTAACGATACTAAGGTCACTAAGGTCGATCATATTCTTAGAAACTTCATTAAAAGATTTATCAAAATAACTCACCCACCTATGTTGAATATCTTTTTCTAAGAAAAATGCTTTTTGATTTTTTTCTTTAATACACTTTACTTGAGTTAAATCTTTTCTTTTCTTTTCTCTTTGTTTGGTCTGTTTATACATATATTTTTCACCCTCCTTAGTATCTAATCTATTATAAAGATAATTAAAAACATAATTTTTAGCATCATAGATTGTTCTTTGAGACTCCCTATGGATCGTTTGATATTTTTTCTAATTCTCTTAGCATTTACATTTAAACCAATTTTTATAACAATTTTTTATATTTTATCTTTTCCTGTATATTATTTTTCCACAACCAACTATTTTTATTTAAAATTTTTTTTATGTTGATTCTCGAAGTACATCTTTTGCTACTTGTTTAATAGTATTTGTTATTTTATCCCACAGCGTTTGCTTCATCATGAACATCCCAAAATTTGAAATCTTGAATTTTACTAATAAAAATAATTTTATTTGTGTCTTTTAGGTTTCTCAATCTAATTCTACGATTATGAGTCATAATATTCTTTATTTTACAATTATTCATCTTAAAATCTAGAACTAATAAACGATGTTGGGTACTTAAATTCTCACTTGGAATGACCTTACAATCTTTACAATCTCGACGATCTATTATTCTCATAAGAAAATAATCAATTTGTGTTTTATTAGATCCGTTCTTATAAGTAATAAGATGTTCATCTTTTTTCTTGAATAAAGTATTAGTAATAACAAAATCATACGCTAAAGAAAAATCTAAAATAGCTTTACCTAAGGTTTCGTAATAAAAAAAGCATACCCTAAAGAAAAATCTAAAATAACTTTACCTTCTTCATTAGTCACTCAAAAAACGTAGTCACCATGAATATTTTTTAATCTTCTATCACTCTACCAACATGTCCATTTAAATCTACTCCAATAAAAAATTCTTTCTTCAGGAGGTATCATTTGTATCAAGTATTTTAAGTCATTCCAGAATTTATCTTTAGACCCTATATCTAAACTTACTTGAGGAGCATAAGCACTTATAATATTAAAAATCTTAGTATCGATAATAATCTTAAGAGTTATAATTCGATCTCCAACTCTATTAATTTTTAAAACATTATCTTTCAAACTCTTATCTATAATCACACCTATACTATTTCTATTGCGACTCTTACCAGAATACAAAAGTATAAACCTAAGTTATCAATCTCCTTAGCCTTTTCTCCAACCCATTTAGTTTCTTGAATACATAAGATATTAATCTTTCTAAGAATCATAATATAAACTAATTTCATTAATTTACTATTGAGAGTACCTATATTTCTGGATCCTATCCTAATATTAATTTCATTAGTTTCATAGATTAAATTTTTTACCCACATCCTTCCGTAATGTGGGAATCCTTGTTTATTTGACGCTACACCCGAGCACCGGTGTAGCAGCTCTTGCACACTTTTCACTATATTCAAGCTATACAGCGTATCACTTCCAGACAATGCCCTAACATTTACACAATGATTTAAAAGAAATGATCAAAAGAAGGATTCATGTCATGATTTTTTCGACAAGTTTTACGCTGGCTGGCGACTACCTAACGCAACCCTCCACTTTTCACATTCGTATTGGGACCGGCAATGACAGTGTTATTGTCTATAAGTATGTTTTCCTAAAATTACCTTGGGCTGCTTGTTTTCAAGTAGGATGTGAATATTTGCTTTGGAAACAAACCTTGCAAATAGCTTTTAAGATTTTTTTCTTAATATTTTTTTGTTGGGGAGGTTAACTGCCAAAGCAAAAATTTGTTGCAGGTGGATTGGATCTCAAGAGTTAGACGACTTATAAAATCATTTCCAATTACAGTTTCAGTTTTCTTTTTGTGTTTAGCATAATTCAAAATCTGTTTGACCATTGCTGTAACCTTTTTGGCACTGCTAGATTTTTGTTAGGGCGAAAGTATAACAAATCCATACTAAGTTGAGCAATCTTTTCGGTTCAAGCTTGTATGTTATACCCTGTTTGAGGGTTTGAGTTATGCTGACTCAATTCCAGAAAATTAATTGTTTAACGAAAGAGAATTTAACTTCGCCATATTATAACTTATTTTTTTCTCTTTATTGAATTTTGCTTACTCCATCCGATTGTCTTTATGAAGTTACATGATCCTTATATACAAAAAGTTATTTTCACCGAGTTTTATCTGCATAAATATGCCACATTTTAGGATTTAAGGCTTGGCAGTAGGGAAATTGATAGACTGCGTGGAGCAGATCTGAAGAAGCTGTTACGCGAGAAAAAACTCGTGCTGATCTTAGATTTGGACCACACGCTGCTCAACTCAACAAGTCTTGCTGATGTCTCTGACGAAGAACAATACTTGTTAAGACAAGCAGAATCGTCTCAGAGTATATTTTTTTCTCATAAATGGCTTAATAATACATCATTTTCTAATAATTTAACTTTTCTCTTGGTGACTTTTTTAGATGATGCGAAGAAAAGCTTGTTGAAACTGGATCATTTGCACACGCTAACTAAGTTGAGGCCCTTTGTCCATGACTTCTTGAAAGAAGCAAATACCATGTTTGAGATGTATATATATACTATGGCAGAGCGGTCTTATGCGGTGGAAATTGCGAAGCATCTTGATCCCGAGAATGTGTACTTTAACTCCAAAGTGATATCACAAGCTGATTCAACAATAAAATATCAGAAAGGACTTGATGTTGTATTGGGAGCAGATAACCTTGTAGTGATTCTTGACGATACAAAGTTTGTAAGTGATGATTTCCACTTAACACTGACCATCATAATGTTTTTGTTTATATGGTGGTGTTCTTGCGTTTTATCGTTTCTTTTTAAGGAAATTTACATTTGCAGCACACAATTCTTATGTATTTATGTATCTCATAACTAAACTTTCATATACATAGCCTTTATGTGCTTTAAATATATGCATGAAAAGGTGTAGTTCACTTTTAAAAAGTGGTAATAGTATTATTTTTGATGTAAGATTTTAAAGATGTGTTTTGTGTAAATATGAAAGATTTAAGTGTGAGATATGTGCATAAGAATTGTGTGCTATGTATGTAAGTGCCCTCCCTATCTTTTTATAATGCACACATCAAACATGCATGTATGTATGTATGAATAAATGTTAATATTGACCATGGTTTAGAAAACCAGTCCGAACCGTCTGGTTCGACTGGTTTTGGGTTGGCTTAATAACCGCCCCTGAATCAAATCGAATTGAACTGGTTCGAACCGAGGAGCGGCAAAAACCAGCCTGTTTGACCTCTAAACCGGCCATAACAAATATTAATAATTTATTTTAAAGGAATTTTAAAAGCCTAAAATAAGATGACAAAGACACATGATGGAAGACCAGTGTGTTATTGTTGTACCTTTCCCATACTCTCTCATGCCTTTCAATATAAAGGGAAATGTATAACTAAATATTTAAAGATGTGGGAGTAAACTATAAAAACTAAATTTAATAATATGTTTCCTTGCCCTTATATCTGCACAAAGTTTTTGCTTTTTTATATTATTTTCTTTTATATATATATATATAGTTCATTATTAATCTTAATAATAAGTTACAACATTTAATTTCTATTCATTATAAAATTGGGAAGATTTACATCATTACATGCATATCACTCGATTGTTATCTATTTACATATCTAACACCTAAACTTTAGTTTTTACGAACATGCCGCCTTACCTGTGAATGAAAAGGTGAATTTCAGTTTTTAAAAATATAAAAAGTTGTACTTTTGATGTGATATGAAAGATTTGGGTGGTATAAATGTAAAGACAAAGAATAGATGTTAGATATGTAAATACATAAGACATGGGTGGTATGTATAAAAATGCCCCTAAGATATTTCAAAAATTATTATAGTGCGATTTTTATACTTCATATTAAATTTTTGTTAAATTAGTGGTTATCTGCTTTTAAAATAACATGCTAAAATTATTATGTTGTTGGTTATTTAAATATTGAGATATTTATTTTTTATTTCACAATCAAATTTTTTTTAAATTACATCATTTTTGTCACATTTAAATAAATTTATAGTGTAGTGCGCCTTCAGGTTGAACCTTGAACCTCTTCCTTTACGTGTTTAATGTGCAGTCCTGTTTTCTGAACCTTCATATTGACAGCTATATTTTGGTATCTGATTTAATCAGGTCTGGAAAAGACATCTAGAAAACTTGATCTGGATGGAGAAGTATCATTTCTTTGCTTCTAGTTGCCGATTATTTGGTGTAGGCTCTAAATCTTTATCACAATTGAAGCAAGATGAAAGAGATTCTGATGGAGCTCTTGCCAATATTCTTGGTGTCCTCAAGCGTGCTCACCAGATGTTTTTTGATCCGGTTAGTACTTTGTAATATAATTTAGTATTTTATGTGATTTATTTAATCAAAACGACTTTTTGACAGTTCTTTAATCATTTTACTGGTTTTTTGTTTGTTTAGGAGCTTGGTACTGATCTTGAATGCAGAGATGTCAGACAGGTATAGATTAACCTTCATGCTTAATGTTATTAGCTCTCTGCTCAATCCCCATATTGCTTGACATTCTATTCCTGAGACCCGTCACACCCGGTTGGTTTATCTGCTTATGTTCGCTTGCTGAATTCTTGTTTCATTTTGATTCTTAAGCGTTGTTTGGTTTGCTATAAAGGAATGCAATGTAATGGAAGATTTATATACATACCACTCAATTCTTATGTATTTACATGTCTAATATCTATACTTTTATTTTTGCATATACGCCGTTTAACCTTTGCATGAAAGGTTGTATTTCACAGTGGAATTTTTTATGTGATATAAGGTTTTGGTGGTATAAATGTTAAAAGTAAACTTCAGGTGTTAGATATGTAAAAACATAAGAGTTGGGTGGTATATATATAAATGTCATGTAAAATATTTAAGGAGGTATTTGATTAGTTGTAAAATAAATGCAGGAGTGCACTTTTTCACATACAGTTTCAAGTAAAATAAAATCAATATATAACTTGATGATTGGTGGCTGACCACGACGGTCTATAGCAGGCTGTCCGGGCTGCTGCCGTTGGTTAAAAAAATTTTCTAATTTCTTTTTGTTTTTGCTGGATTAAAATGCAATTTTTGTTTTGTCTAGGTTCTTAAAACAATCAAGCAGGAAATCCTGCAGGGCTGTGTTATTGTTTTCTCCAGACTCTACTCATCCACGTCCCAGCCAGAGGAGGAGGGGATCTGGAAGATGGCAGAAGAATTGGGAGCCATTTGCATCAAGGAGGTCGATGATTCTGTGACACACATTGTTTCTTCGGATGCAGGAACTCAGAAGTCTCGTTGGGCCTTGAAAAATAACAAATTTTTGGTTAATCCTTATTGGATTCATGCAGCAGTTTTCTTGTGGCGCAGGCAGCCTGAGGGGAATTTCCCTGTCCGTAATTCACAAGAGAAACCTTAGAAACTTTTGCTTTTTTTGCTGTATAGATTATGACAGAATTTGCAGATTTGCACATATGATTCTCTTCGATTTTTTTTTTTTAAATAGCTATAGTTGGAGTATAGATGGATTTATTGTAGAAACAGTTAGAAACCGCTGTTTTATTGATTATAGCGCTTTGGTTATATCAGACAGCATTTTGACATATTTAGTGCTGTGTTTTGTTATAAATTGAATGATTTTTCAGTCACAATGAGGTGGTTGCATAAAGTGATTGTGATATTTTGATGAAAAACTATGGTGGTGTGGTAAGCTGTCCATCATATTTGCAAGATAATATATACGTAAAAGTTTTTCAATGATAAATTATCTGAATCATTTTGCCTGTAAACATTGAAGTTCAGGTGTTAGATGTATGTTTATCGGAATTATATGGTATGTAAGAATTATTGTTCCAAAATCTAAGATGTTACAGGCTATCAAAGGACACTGTGTTTTCATGATGTTTGTGTGTGGGTGTGTCTGTAAAATGTATGAGCAGACCTGGCCTTTTGGAGTTAGTCGCTCGGGTGCATGCCAACTCAATCTCAGTTGCCATTGATACTTTGGAGAATGCAAGGGTACTCTAACAAGACCCATTCCTTGTTTAATCAAATTGTGCATACTAAAATTGGAGAACTAAACATTTCAAAATATTGTTAAGTTAATGATAAGGGTTGGTTTGCAATGCGTCGAAGATGTATTTTAAAGACATTATTAGAAAAAATATACTATTATTCTTTATGGCAATAGCTCAGGTAATTTCTCCATCCAATATTTTTATTGTTAAATTATTCAACTAAATTAGTCATTCTCATTGTGAATAAGTGTTTGTTTGGTAAGTTGCGGCTGTTTGAAATAGTTGTTCGAAAAACTGTGGTGATTATTATAAATTATTATTTTTTTTAAAAGACAGATCACAATTTTTTAGTAGCTATTATATTTTATTGTTAGTTTGGCAAAGTTGCAACTTTTGAAATAGCTATGAAGCTGTTGCAAAAGAATCTGATATTCATAAAGCTATCATGGCTATTATAATTTTTATTTTAAAAAATAAGGCCACACCTTTCTAACAGTTATCACACTTAAGGTGCATTTGGGACGGTTGTAGCTTTTTTAGTAAGTTATTGTAAAGTTGCTTCCTGGAGAAGCAGCTTTTTAAGAGCTATTACAAAGCTGTTGATGAAGAAGCAAGTGTAAGCAAGTGTCTGTTTAGGAAATTTGTTGTGCTGCTATTGTTTATGATAAGAAAGATTGTTTTGCTCTTATATATGTATTATATTAAAATAAGTGTGGTTTTCAGAATATTCAGAATTAAATAACAAAAAGAGGTCATAATGCTAAAAAAACTAACAATCTAGTCCAAAATACTCTAATACATATAAAAAGATTAATTATTTGAAGCAAATGATTGCAATAAGAAGGACAATTGTAATCAGCAAGCCTAAAATGTGTGCTCTCCTTTCCCAACCATTCATCACAAATAATAAACACATGTTGAAATCACATGTTGTTAATATATTCTATGTAACAACTTCACACCTATTGATATTGGTTATCTTTTCCTCATTCCCCACGCTTGCATCAACGTGTGTTCTATCAACCGCTTTAATGAAATTCTTATTTTAAAAAAATGACACAATATTGGCAATTTAAAGATTTTCTTTAATTTATTGAAGTACAAATAGAGAGTTAGATTAATACTTTAAAAAATGGCATGTGCCTCAAATCACAACGAATTTCCAGAGGTGTTTGAGTAAAAGAGGACAAAAATATGGCAAATAAGAGATAAAGGCAGAACTCCGAATCAATTCATAGATATCAAAAATAGCTTCATTCAGGATCACCATTTGTGTTCTCCATGCATAAAGACCAGCCAGTATTTGTATCGAATTAGCATGATCGTTTATTTTTCATATTCACAATTGGAAATCAGTTGAGCTTTTTGTTATGTTTTTTCCATCATCACTCTACTAACATTTCACAAGAAATGTCAAAATGTGCTCACTAATTCTCACTACAAAAGCATCACCGTAAACAAAAACTAAGCAACCAACGAGTCCACAAAACATTCAAAGTAATAAGATCATATAAATCTCAAGAATCCTTTTTGATAAGTTAGCAACACCCATTCGACAACATATCTCAACATGGATAGATATGAGTAATGCTTTACAGTTTCTATGAGAAAATTTTATTTGTAGAATTGCTTGCTCTTCCTCTCGCCGCAGTGTAGAATAACATTTTGGGGGGAAGAATGTTGAGCACTGTTTTTTTAAAATTCTGCTGAGACTTTTATAAATGGAATTGTATATGTTTTGTTGCAAAGTTGAAGTAGATAAGTTAGCAACATCTATGATTATTCTGATCAACCAACAAAAGTTATGGGATGAAATATATATGAGCATTGCTCATATGTTTCTTTCAAAATTTTCTGTGTACATGTTTTGCATATGTATGCACTAATGCAAACCCTCTGATTCCATGTCGGATAATATACCAATAACCATTTTTTTTTCTTTTTATCGCGCTAGCGAAATTGTCTTCGAGGCAATAATTAGAGATGAGTGACATCTCTTAACCAAAGAAGACACCATCCATAATCAGCATTTTCCCAAATTGAATAAGCACTTGAACGTGTTATCTAACGACATGTATCTGTGAGAAAATAACTGCTTTAATTTAAAATTGACAAGTGGTGATTGGTTGAACCATTTGATAGTTTCTTTTCTACATTCGCTCTAAATTACATTTGAATGACATCCTTCAATTGATATCTTATCCGACATATAACCTCAGTGAATGTATATGCATGGTAAGTACACATAAAATTTTGAAAGAAACACATTAACAATGTTCAAATATGTTTCATTCCATAACCTCTACTAGTTGATCAGAATAGGTGAAGATGCTGCCAAGTTTTCTCAGCAGAACTTAAAAATTCTATTTTTAAAAGCCTCAGCAGAACTAAAAAAAAAAGAAAACAATGCTCAACATTCTCTCCCCCAAAATAGTACTCTACACTAAAGAAGAGGGAAGAGTAATCAAATGGAGCAATAAAATTTTTTAAGGAAACACAAGCAGCGCTCATATAGCCTTGAAAATAAAATAAACAAAAATAAATTCTGAATAAAAAGATTAACAATGCTAGCTTCTATTGTTTGATCATAAGTAGTATAGATACTACTAACTTATATATCTTGCAAAATTTAACTTTGCATCAAAACATATGCACTTTCATTTCTAAAAGTCTCAACTTAAAAAATAAAAAAGAAACAGCGCTTAAAATCCCCTCCAAATGTTATTGTACATTGATGAGGAGGTAAGAGCAAGCAATTCAACCAACATAATTTCTCAGAGAAACTGAAAACCAGTGCTTATGTAGCCAAGAAAAAAAAAATAATCAAAAGAAATTTTGCTTGCACAGTTGAACAATTATCATATATATTTAATTCTATTGCTTATTCTAACTGATCGGAAACGAAAAAGATGCTGCTAACTTATCTATCACGTAAGTTTCAACTGTGCAACAAAAGATATGCAATTCTATTTATAAAAGTTTTTTAAAAACTAAAAAACGAAAGAAGTGTTCAACATTCTCCCCCCAAAATATTACACTACACTGAGGAGGAGGCAATTACAAGCAATTCGACCAACAAAATTTCTTAGAGAAACTGGAAAACCAGCTCTTTTGTAGCTAAGGAAAAAAAAAATAATCAAAACAAATTTTGCTTGCATAGTAGACTAATGTTCATATATATTTCATTCAATTTCTTCTACTGATTGATCAAAACAGTAAAAGCTGCTTTTAACATATATATTACACAAGCTTTAATTATGCAACAAAAGCATATGTGATTTTATTTATAAAAGTTTCATAAAAATTAAAATAAGGAAGCAACACTAGACATTCTTGCATCAAAATGTTACTCTACACTGAGGAGGAGGCAAGAGTAAGCAATTAGACTAACAAAATTTTTAGAGAAATTGTAAAGCAATGCTCATGTAGCTATGAAAACAAAAAAAAGAACCAAAATAAACAGCTGAACAATGTTCATATATATTTTATTTCATTGCTTGTACTGATTAATCAAAACAAACAGGAATGTTGCTAACTTGTCTATCTTGCAAACTTCAAATGTGCAACAAAACATATGCAATTTTATTTATAAAAGTCTCAGAAAAACTGAAAAAAAAAGATTTGCTCTACATTCTCTCTCCCCCAAATGTTAAACTCCAAAAAAATTCTTAAAGAAATAAACTAGGATAGAGATAGATGCTTTAATTTATGTATCATGCAAAGTTCAACTTTACATCAAAGCATATGTAATTCTATGTATAAAGATAAACAAGGAAATATTTTATAAATAAATGAACAATGCTTATATATATTTCATTCCATAGCTTTTATTGGTTGATCAGGACATGTATAGATGCTGCTAGCTTATCTATTATGTGAACTACAACTTTGCGTGAAAGCATAAGCAATTCTATTTGTAAAATTCTCACATATACTATAAAAAGAATTTCTTAAAAAAACATATGAACAATGGCCATAAATATCTTACTACATATCTTCTAATGGTTGATCAAGATATGTATATATGTTGCTAAATTATATATCAAGCAAACTTCAACTTTGCATCAACACGTATGCAATTTCATTTATAAAACTATCTCATATACTAAAAAAGGGAAGCAGTGCTCCACATTCTTCCCCAAAAATGTTACTCAACTATGTATAGGAGACAAGTGCAAGCAAATCGACCGACTACCATCAGTAAAGCATATGTAGAACAAGTCCACAAAAAATTCTTAAAGAAACAGATGTACAGTGCTCATATATTTTTCATCCCATAACTTCTACTGCTTTATCAGGATTAGTATACATGTTGTTAACTTATCTATCTTGCAAACTTCAACATTACATAAAAGCATATGCAAAACAAGAAGAAAAAATTAATAGGTGCTCAAAACCCCCCACACAAAATGTTCATCTACACATATGTGTGGGAAAGAGCAAGCGAATCTATCATCAACCATCAATGGATAAATTTGCAAAACAAGAATACAAAAAATTTCATAGAAGAAACAAAGAGAAACACCGAGGTAGACAATAAATAAACAAAAAAAAACCATAAAGAAGAAAACTTTATCGGTGGTAGG